CCTCCCTCCCTCCTCCCACTCCCTCCTCTCCTCTCCCCTCCTCCTCCCCTATCCTGGACATCTTTTATCCTCTGCCCCCCTTGATTCCCTCCTCTCACTTGTCCCCAGGACCTTCAGCCACATTCAGCCCTCAACGCCGCGAGGATCGAGGCAGAGAAGTGGAGGAGGATAAAGACTAACGGGGGGCGAGTCTACTGGCACAACAGGAGCACAGGAGAGACCAGGTGGGAGACTCCTTCCTCCCTACTCCCTCTCTCCGCCCGTGAGCTCGACGTTCTCGTTCCCGTCCGAGTTAAGAAGCAGCAGAGGAGGAGGGATGACGGGGATGGGGATTGAAGAAGACGACGGGTGTGTATGAGGAGGAGGAGGAGGAGGAGGAGGAAGAGGAGGAGGAGGGGATGTAGAGGTAAGGGAGCAGGAGAGGGAAGCTAAATGTCTCGAATATTATTTATTTGAAATCAATACGAGGAGAATTCATTCCTCCTCCTCCTCCTCCTCCTCCTCTCACTTTCCCTCTTTCTGCCCTGTGGACGAAGCAGCCGCAGCATCTTCCTGGGCCTGAGCACCATCAGCGTTGCCCCGTCCCTGCTCAGAGGAGGAAGAAGGCTGCTGCGGCTGCTGCCTCTCCTGCGACGAACCCGCTCCCTGTGCTGGCTGGACTCTGACGATCTCCACCATCCTCATCAGGTACGACTTGACCTCCTCCAAGATCGCCGTCTCCATGTCTGCGTCTCGCACGCCCAGCCGCGACTCCTTCCTGCCCCCCACGCTGCTGCTAGCGGCCTCCTCTGCCTTCCCCTCCCCCCTCCGTCCCTCTGACCCGTTGGCGCCGCTTCCTTGCGGTTCCCCCTGCCCCCTCCATCCCGCGCTTGCCTCTCTCTGCGCCTCACTTGCCTTCTTCCTCGTGGAGCTTAGCAGGAGCACACGGCAGAGGTTGAAGAGCACGGGGTCGCTCAGGTGGTTCCGGAAAACGCTCCTCTCCGCCAGCTTCCCGTACTTGACCAGCGGCAGGCCGATGAGGGAGGAGGTCATCCCGGAGCCGTGCGGCTTCTGCGACATCCGAAGGCTCGCCATCACCTGCTGCAGCTGCGAGGAGATCGCTGAGCCCAGCCCGGCCTGGCTCAAGATCGCAGAAGGCAACGCAGCACCTCGGAGCTCGAGCCAGCGACGGGCGTCTGACTTCCCGTCCCCTCCTGGGGGCTCACGCCCTGCGTCGACGGGCCAGACCACTGAGTCGACGGGCCAGACCATACCGGGCGAGGAGAGTGAGTCATAACCTTCTTGAAGCCGATGGGGGAGGGGGAGCTGGAGTTCTCGTTAGTCCTGCAGGAAGGAGTCGTAGCCCCGTCCCCAACCCCCACGGACAGCATCGCCTTCCGCTCCATGCTATCCTCCGTGTTCCTGCACTCGTGGCACTTGCACTGAGCCGAGCACAGGACTCCTGCCTGGAAGCACTCGCAGTACTTCTTCAGGCACCCACTCTTCTTGCAGTGACAACCCTTGGTGTGCCTCCCCTGCACCGGCGAGTCCTCGATGCCGGGAGGAGCGCTGGATGCGATCTTGGGTTGAAAGGCTAGAGGATTTCGCTCCAGCGTCGCGTCGATCGCCGACTTTCTCTGCTTCTCGTAGTTTTCGTTGTTCTGACACAGCTGGCAGTTGCAGGAGAGGTTGCAGTAGGACCCGGAGGCGAAGCATTCGCAGTAGAGCTTCAGGCACTTTGAGTTCTTGCAGTTGCATTGCTTCCTCTTGCTCGGAGTCGACGGCGCCTCTGACATCCATGCTGTCTGCGCTGCTCCTGCAAACCCCAGCAGAGTCCCAGCGGCAGACGAAGGGGAGAGTTGGCCAGAGTTGGCAGCCTCACCGTTGGTCTCCACGGGGTACGCCTGAGCCCACACTGTTCCCGAGCTCTCCCCCCCGAAGTCCAGCTGCCGCGCTCGCTTTCTTGAAGACTCCCTTTCACGACCTGCGGAAGAGCCATTCTCCGACTTGATCTCCTTGTCTTCGCCTCCTTTCTTGGACGACTTGTGGAGCTCCGAAGAGGCGACGCTGGTGAGTGCGGCGATGGCAGCTGCCTCTGCCTGTCTGGTCCGCGGGCTTGTGGTTACTGCTGATGAAGACGAGCTAGTAGTGTGCGCTGCTTCCGATGCAGCCTGATTTGTCTCGGAGTTGCTTCGCTTCCCTAACTTAGTCTTGGCCTCCTCCTTCAGAGCAGCGTTCTTCTCTTGCACCGACATCGGTTCAGCTGCTGCTCCTAAACTTGCTAGGAGGTCCATTCCATGTACAAGTTGAGGATCGCTGCACCAATCTCGCTCGATCGCTCGCTAGGCCAGGAAGAGATGGTCTGCAGCGCACTGATGAACGAGTCGATACAAAAAGCTGCAAGCTTACCTCGGGAGCAAAGAGGGACCCGATACAGTCTTTCTGACTTTCTTCCTGAAAAAGACAGTCAGGAGAGGAAAAATACTTGTGTATCCTTTCCCACAAGGACATACGTTCAAAGCTTAGAACCGATTAAGGGCCACATGATGTGTGGCGTATGGAAAAGCAAGAGAAGATAGGTTGTGAGGATGGAAGATAGACAAAATTGATTGATTTTCCGAAGATAGGTTAAGCATGCCATGTACAAATACGTGAGAGAACAAAGAATGTTTCCAAATCAAACAAGCGGTACAAGTTGTTCCTTCAACAAAGAATAGAAGTGAGGCAGCTCAAAAGCGGAAAGACGAAGGTGAATGCGTTTCACGAGCCACATAATGCATGAAACAAACAGTGCAGTGAGCTTGAGGAACGATGAGAGTTCGGGTGCAAATGGACAACGGCGATGTCGCAAATTCATTTAGAACTCGCAATGCGCCAGGTACACGAGCGAAAGAATTCACGAAATTCTGAGGAGAATGAAGATTTAAGCCCCAATGACAGGAACGAAGACACTTGTCGTCGCTCAAGGCAGAAGACATGCCGTCTGGGGTGGCGAGGGAGGCAAGGGAGGCAAGGCAAGCAACGGAGGCGAGCAAGGCAGGACACCTTGACAGTTGGGACCACGCAAAAGATGCAGGAGCAGATGATGGTGAAGGGCAACAAGACAAGGGAGAGACCAAAGGAAGCACTGTGCCAGGAGGAGGAGGAGGCAAAGGAACAGCGCATGGCGATCACGAAGCGAAGCGCGAGGTAAGGAGATGGCAAAAGCCATGGCGCAGTGTGGCAGAGGAATTTGAAAGGGGTAGGGTAGGTTGATCAGGGGTGAAGAGAACTCCATGACCGGTGTATGATGCAATGTCATACCTAAGTACCCCTTATGAAACATAAACATTAGGGGTGTTAATTATTTGAAAGGGGTACTTCAACAAATGAGGTGGTCAGGGTGGTGAAACCTTGTACCCCTTAAGTGGGGTGGTGAATTCAATTTTTGAAGAGCGACGAGTAGGAGCAGAAAAGAAGGGGGTAGGGGTTGTTCATACCACCGGTGAATTAATATTCCAAAACATGGGAACAAAGAGGGTAGGGGGTGTATCTGAACACCCCTCATGGACGGTTATCCTGTACGACCCCACCTGGCTCATTCTCTGTTCTTGTGGCCAAGGAAAGGGGGTAGGGGTGATACCACGGGGAAAATAAGATTGCTCAAGAGGGTGGGGTATATCACCCCTACCCACATACTCAGCTGATTGATGGCTCATCAATATGGTAGGGGTGACAGCACGACAAATCATTCGGGTGGAAATGGAATCAGGGGGTACTCTCATAAAAAGGGGGGTGATCGATGGGAAACTAGGGGGTGTTCAGGTGAAACGAAGTTTGCAAGTTTTCAGGGTGCGAAGTTTTCAATTTTGCGATTCCGACTCTCAAGTTATGGAGACGGAAGTTCGGAATCTGAGAGTCGGAAACCGTATCACTGAAACTCCGGCAGCGGCGGCCCGGATCGGACAGTGGGCCCGGCCTGTCACGGTGACAGTGGTAGTGGCACCGTGGGGGCAAGCCCGGGCCGCCGCGGGCGGCCGCCGGGCGGCTGCGCGCCGCTTCCGAAGTTCCGTGACTCGCAGTGACGCGGCTGAGCTCCGGGCCCTGATCGGGCCGTTCGGACTCCGGCGGCGGGCTCCGACCTTCGTTCACTGGTTGTTCAATCGTCGTTATCATGCACATGGTCAAGCAGATTCTTGCGAATAGCCCAATCACAGAACTCATCGAACAAGATTTGCCCGCCGCCATTTGAATCAATCTACAAAGAATGCAAATGTAAGCGATTGGATAGTCAAGTGAAGTATGCTTCTGTGATGGTTGATACCAAGTGTCAAGTTCTGTATGGACTTACCTCATGAAATGTTTTCACCGGGTCCTGAATTTCCATCCCCCAAGAAATCAGCCTGAAATGTCGGGCATGAGCAATGTTCTCATAGCTAACATTGATCTGTCACTCACTGTGGCGTCGCAGCCTTGAATTCGTTGAGATCGACTCTCCTATCTTGTCTGCCATGATCGCATAAGGGACACACACAGCCGCACAGCGCCCTCTTACCCTTGATCCATGCTGGCAAAAATCTGAAACAGCTCGAAGTACTGCTTCAGGTACACCAAGAGCATGCGGAATTCGACACGCGAGACGTAATCGTCTTCACGACCTCCCTTGCCCTTCTTCAATCCCTTAGAAGCTTGAAATGCCCGCATGATGGCAGGCTTGCAGTTGTAAAGAGCGTCGAGCCCGAAAGACTGTCGTTTCAAACACGCAAGACTTCAGATCCGCGGCTCGGATTTCAAAGGAAGAATGGAAGGAGCGGATCAATTGAAGACAGTCACCTCGCGGAGCCCTTTGTCAATCTCAGCAAGCGAGAGATAGCCGTTTCCATTGGGATCAAATTGCTTGAAGAGAGTACTCCTCTTACTTTTGTCCTCGTCAGACTGATGTTCAAAATGGTCAGTGATCCTAGTCTTTGGGGAATGATGGCACCTTGGATGTTGGAAGCCTTGAAGCGATTTCACCGAGACTCGACATTCCAAAGTTCAACTATAATCAAACACTCATCAGTCAAGGCAACTGGCCTCACAACGAAATCGCAGCGAAACATTCTTTTCCGTTCTAGATCAGTTCTAGACCTCTTCCAACAATACTGGGTCACTTTCCCTGTTATCGGAGTCAATAGCAATCTTGGTGACTAGATCTAACGTGTCGCCATTTCGCTTGTCTTGCCTTGCCTTGCCTTGCCTTGCCTTGCCTTGCCTCCCTCCCCCTTCTCCTCTGCTGGCGTGGAAGCAAATTTTATCTACTGTAGTCGGGGCATCAAACCCAGCTGCCCTACCCCATGTATCCCAAATGTACCCCTCATTTTATGGTTATATTACCCCTGCCTTTGATATTCCAACGCATACCTACGACCACCCCCCACCCACATTTTGTATCAATCCACAGCTCGGAGTCGCCGGCTTTTAACCGGTCAGGCCGGGCCCGACTTACTGGAATCACTAGGTTCAGCGAGCTGCCCTCAGAACTCTGTGGATCTTTACTTTTGCACCCCTACCCCAATAATTCATATGATTTACTACCGGTACTTGACCTCCGTGCGGGTCCACCCCAGAGACTTAAACACCTCCCCTCCAAAAGGACTACCCTCCATTTTCCCTATGAAGCAGTCCAGAAAGTATGGTGGGGTAGATAAGTCTAAAAGGGGGGTACAGAATAGACCTGAAGGATCCATGTGAGGGGTGGGGTACTACCCCCTCAAATAGGATGCAATTGTGCGTAACAGTGGGGGTACTTGTTGTGCAGTGGTAAAGTTTGGATTGGAATAAATATGTCGGGGAGCAGTGGAGGTAAAGCGCGGAGGTGGCGGGGTCATGGCAGAGTTCGGAACAGAGGAAGCAAGACGAAAGATGAGCGAAGAGCAGGAGCTGAGTAAGAGCAAGGATTTCATGGCATAGAGGACAGAGAGTAGGGGAAAGGGAGGAGTGACTCCAAGGGTTCCAAGGAATTCGAACAATGGCAGTAATTTCTATGGAAATCTACATGCCCACCGGTAAGGCTCAGATGAAATTTGATGAGATTGTAGCCTCAGTAGTGCACGACGGAGGGCACAGGAGGAGCAGGAGCAGGGAGATGTGTAGCAAGTACCCCCGTTTCTCTTGCAAGTCATTCACATGAGTTCACAGTTACCATGCACCAACACCGCTGATCTTCGCTCCCTCAAAGGCCCCTGAGCAACTGGGGACGTCAACCAGCGATTGAATCCGCAACTTCGCTCGAGCCAGCATGCAGACATAGCGGGAGCGATATGAAATCTCGAGCCAGCATGCAGACATAGCGGGAGCGATATGAAATCTCAGATTGAGGAGCAGGTAGAGCATGTCCTCAAGATCATATCCCGGCAGGCTCCCCGACCGAGCCAGGGGCCCACGACAGTCCGAGGGAGAGTTGTGTCGCAACATGCAGGGAGCAAGGATGCTGGGACGCAGACGGAAGACGCAAACACATGGATACAAGTGAAAGATGGACACATCAATCTGTTCAACCACCATCCTCTGCCGGTTGTTCCGGCCAGAGTGAGCCATGCTGAGAATATGGAGAGCCTGTCGGAGGCCAAGGCGGACAGGATCGCTAGGGACGACGCGAGGCTGGCAGATGAGCTGCTGCAAGAGGCGAAGGAGCTGCGGCAAGCCGGGAAGGAGGAGGAGAGCAAGGAGATGGGGCTGGAGTCGAAAGATCTGTTGAAGAAGCTTCAGCTGATGGTCCGTAACGAGTAGGGGGAGGCCAGGAGGAGGAGGAGGAAGAGGAGGATGAGGAGGAGGAGGAGGAGGAGGAGGAGGAGGAGGAGGAAAACAGGAGGTGGGAGAGGGGAAGGGGGAAGGAGGAGGATGACATGTCCTTGCAGATCAAGAGGAAAGAGTTTGCAACGAGAGAGAAAGAGTTCTTTGACAAGAGAATCGAAAAGGTTGGAGCATCGGCCTTGGTTGTGATGTGAATGACTGGAGGCGTCAGATCGAGCATGAGCTGCCGAGCCTGAAGAGCAAGACAGTCCCTGAGGACAAGGCGATCAACCAACTTCGAATCACCTCCGATGAGGAGAGGAGGAGGATCTGCCGAGACCCCAAGTACTGGAAGACGAAGTTGTGCAGGAGTGAGTTGAAAGCCTTACGATGCTGAACCTCCCTCCTTGCCCTCCTGGTGTCTCCTTGCCCTCCTTGCCCTCCCCGTGTCTCCTTGCCCTCCTTGCCCTCCTCTTGTCTCCTTGCCCTCCTTGCCCTCCTCGTCTCTTCTCGTTGCCTGTCAGTTCACAACTGATCTTCTTGTGTCCTTGCAGCAATCTTTCAGATCGACCGTCACTCAGGTGCTGAACATGCTGGACGGCAACTGATCGCCCTGACTGCCTTCCAGCAAGCAACCACCTTGCTTCTCACGTCGTTCGCAACATCTCCACTGCACCGGCAAACTCCACCTTGCCATCGCCTTCCTCCTCCACAGAATCCCATGCTCGCTCAGCCGCCTGCTGTGGTTCGAACCATTCATTGGTCTCCTCCCTCGCGTACCAGACGGACAAGGTGAAGGTAACGGCAAACGAAGCAGCGGCAAATGGAGAAGGGGCAGGGGCAGGTGCAGGGGCAGGAGCACGAAGAGGAGCAGGAGCAGGAGCAGGAGCGGGAACAGGAGCAGGAGCAGGAGCAGGCATTCATTCGATTTTCACCAACGAGGTCATTATGTCTATCATCTGGACTTTCGTGCTTTTGGTTTGTGGAATCACAATGACCGTCCTATGGAGAAGGTACTGCTGCTGCTGCTGCTGCTGCTGCTGCTGCTGCTGCTGCGCTTCTTATGCTTCTCTTCCTCCTCCTCCTGCTCCTCCTCCTCCTCATGCCCCTGCCCCTGCTTTTCCATCTCCCCTTCCCCTGCTCCTGCAACGCTCTCTCATCTCCTCTCCTCGTCCTCCTGCCCCTGCTCCTTCTCGATTTTCCTGCCCCTCTCACCGCACCCGCAGGTACAAGTCAAGCCAGCGGGGGAGGCAAGGTGAGCTTCTTTCCTGTCTTTGCTCTCGTGCTGACCTCCACCTCTCCCCCAGCTGAAGCGAGCAAGTACGGAGGATGCGAGTCCAGCAGCCCTCCACCTAGTTGAGCATGTAAACGTGTCCACCCCCAGCTACCTCCTCAGCTCTTCTCCAGCTGCCTGCAGGCGTGCTGGGCCCTGAGCAACCGCGTCTGAATCTCGTCGACGAAGTCCAGGGAGGAGGCCAACACCCTCCCCAGCTCTTTGACCCCCTCCTTCCCCAGCTTGTAAACCCCCTCCTCCCCCAGCTGCACGACCCCTTCCTCCCCCAGCAAGGTGTTGAGCTGACTGAGGGTCCTCCTTGCCTCCCTCAGCTCCTGGTCCAGCTGCTTGCGGTAGAAACTTGCTAACGCGCCACCGTCCGTCGCCTCGGGGCCCCGCGAAGGTGGAGAGGGAGAGGAGGGCAAAGTTGACGACGACGACGACGACGACGTTGAGGAGGAGGAGGGAGAGGAGGAGGAGGAGGAGGAGGAGGAAGGCTCTTCGTAATGAATCTTCACGTGCTTCTCTCCAGCCTCTTCCAGCTCCCATAAAATCTTCAGCAGCCGTTGGAAGTGCCGGACCCATTCTCCTTCCCTGCCCGATCCCTCAGTTCCTACCTCTCTCCATTCTCCTGCTCAACTCCCCGCCCTCAATTTCTCACGCGTCCTCCTCCTTCTCTCTCCTGAAACTCCTTGATCTTCAAACTCTCGTCTCTTCCCTCTAGTTTCATGCTCCTTCCCTTATGAGTTCCCCGGACCTCCTCCTCCTCCTCCTCCTCCTCCTCCACCAAGAAGAGAAGCACGGCATGGAAACAGGGCAAGATATGTGGTGCTGTCCTTTGTAAAACTAATAGCAGAGGGACGTCTTTGGTTGACGCCATGAATCTTTTTTTAAAGCCTCGACATGAAACACACAGTCGCAATAACCCGCAGTCTCGAGATCTGATTGTCAGAAGGCAAAGACCTCCTTATGCTCCTA